GAAAATCTCAATTTTGGGGGAAAAATCCCAATTTTGGGGGAAAAATATCAATTTTGGGGGGAAAATCCCAATTTTGGGGGAAAAATCCCGATTTTGGGGGGAAAATCCCAATTTTTGAGCAATTTGGGATCATTTTTAAGGGGAAAAATCCCAATTTTGGGGGAAAAAATCCCAATTCTTAGGCAATTTGGGATAATTTTTGGGGGGAAAAATCCCAATTTTTGGGCAATTTTGGATCATTTTTAAGGGGAAAAATCCCGATTTTGGGGGAAAAATACCAATTTTTGGGCAATTTGGGATTGTTTTTAAGGGGGAAAATCCTAATTTTGGGGGGAAAATAATTCACTTTTTTGGGGTAAAAGTCCGATTTTTGGAGATAAAAATTCAATTTTTGGGGTAAAAATTCAATTTTGGGGGGAAAAACCCAATTTTGGAGAAATTTGGGGTCATTTTTGGGGGATAAATCCGATTTGGAGGAATAAAATCCAATTTTAAGGCAATTTAGGATCATTCTGGGGTGAAAAACTCAGTTTTGCGGGGAATCCATCCAATTTTTGGGGGGAAAAAATTCAATTTTGAGGAAAAAAATCAATTTTGGGGAAAAAAATTCAATTTTGGGGAAAAAAAATTCAATTTTGGGGAAAAAAATTCAATTTTTGGGGGGGGAGATTCAATTTTTTGGGGAAAAAACCCCAATTTTGGGAGAATTTGAAACCATTTTGGTGGAGAAAAATCCAACTTTTGAGAAATAAATCTAATTCTGGGGACATTTAGAATGATTTTTGGGCGGAAAAATTCAATTTTTGGGAAATAAATTAAATTTTGGGGGAATTTGGGATTATTTTTGGGAGAAAAAATCCAATTTTGGGGGAATTCGGGGGGGAAAAAAATCCCATTTTGGGGGATTTTTGGATCGTTTTGAGGTGAAAAATCTGATTTTTTGGGGTTCCCCACCCCCCCTTGGGCATTTTTTGGTAATTTTGCCCATTTTTGGGGGAATTTTCCCCATTTTTTGGTGCCTCCCCGCTCACCCATTCCAGAGGATCCTCGGGGATGGAACTGATGTTATCGGGGAGCCTGAAAATGGAAAGAAATCAAAAACAACCCCAAAATAACCCAAAATATTCCATTTATCACCCAAAACCTCCCATTTCCCACCCAAAACCCCAAAACCTCACTTTTTCTCCCAAAAATCTCCCATTTCCCACCCAAAATTCTCATTTTTACCACCCAAAAACCGCAGGTTTTCCACCCAGCACCCCCCTAAAACCTCAAATTTTCCACCTAAACCCCCAAAATCTCCCGTTTTCCCCCCAAAATCTCCCATTTTTTCCCAAAATCTTCCATTTCCCCCCAAATTCACCCGTTTTTCACCCAAAATCTCCCATTTTCTCCCAAAATCTCTCATTTTTTCCCTAAAACTTTACATTTTCCACCCAAAAGCCCCCCAAAACCTTCCATTTTTTTCCCAAAATCTTCCATTTTCCCCCCAAATTCACCCATTTTCTCCCCAAAACCTCACATTTTCCCCAAAAATCTCCCATTTTTTCCCAAAATCCCCCATTTCCTCCCCCAAATCCCACATTTTCCACCCAAAATCTCATTTTTCTCCCCAAAACTTCACATTTTCCACCCAAAATCCCCCCAAAATCCCCCCATTTCCCCCCAAAATCCCCCATTCTTTCCCAAAATCTCCCAATTTTCCACCCAAAACCTCACATTTTTCCCAAAATCTCTCATTTTTTCCCCAAAACTTCAGATTTTCCACCCAAAATCTCTCATTTTTTCCCTAAGTCCCCCATTT